AGTAACGTCCCTAGTACTGAGCCTTGAGGTACTCCATACTGCACTTGTGATCGATATGATACCTCTTCATTTACTGCTACGAATTGATGGCGGTCAGATAAGTACGATTTGAATCATGCTAATGCACTTCTATTAATGCCAACAAAGTTTTCTAGTCTATGCAAAAGAATGTTGTGGTCAATCGTGTCGAACGCAGCGCTAAGATCCAGTAGCCCTAATAGAGAGATACAACCACGATGAGATGATAATAGCAGGTCATTTGTAACTCTAATGAGAGCAGTCTCGGTACTATGATACAGTCTAAATCCTGACTGGAAATCCTCACAGATACCATTTTTCTCTAAGAAGGAATATAATTGTGAGGATACTACCTTTTCTAGTATTTTGGACAGAAAAGGGAGATTCGAGATCGGTCTGTAATTAACTAGTTCTTTGGGGTCAACTACCTGGGAACTACCTGATTTGTTCTTCCCCTTCTTTTACACAGTATGAGCAATTTGAGAGCACCATTGGCTTCAAGCTTTCTAATCACAGAGCCGCCAAGAGGCTATGGAAGGTTTGCATTGAACATCACACCTTTTTCAGGTAAACTAGCTGGACTAATTTGATTTATTTTATTGATTGATATAATTTTGTTATCAACGTTGTAGTCATGTTAATGTTAATGTGGCAGCCTTTATTTTACTTCACATTTTTTAGTGACAAACCTTGGGTCACCATTGTCCTATGAATTTAGCTTTTATGACTTTCAGTCATTTGTGTTTGACCCCCAATGCCTGAAGCTGTCACACTACTGAATATGTTTTGTTTCCCTCATTTGCATGAAATTTAAATGGCATCAATGGAGAACATAGTCTAGTGTGGCTATGTCTTGATAGTCATACTGCCTTTTTTTAAATATATGAGAAAGTTTAGGAATGATTAATATTGATAAAGAATCTCAGATTGAATGCCTCTGTTGGCATATCCTCTATTGCTCCAGGTATGTTATTATAAAGACCAGAATACCATAGCTCGTTCAAATACTGAGGTGCTAAACCATTCAGGGCTTTATAAGTAATTAGCAAGATTTTAAAATCTATACGATGTTTAATAGGTAGCCAGTGCAGTGTTGACAGAACCGGGCTAATATGGTCATACTTCCTGGTTCTAGTAAGAACTCTAGCTGCTGCATTTTGGACCAGCTGGAGTTTGTTTATTAAGCGTGCAGAACAACCACCCAATAAAGCATTACAATAATCTAACCTTGAGGTCATAAACGCATGGATTAACATTTCTGCATTTGACATTGAGAGAATAGGTCGTAATTTAGATATATTTTTGAGATGGAAAAATGCAGTTTTACAAATGCTAGAAACGTGGCTTTCTAACGAAAGATTGCTATCAAATAGCACACCTAGGTTCCTAACTGATGACGAAGAATTGACAGAGCAGCCATCAAGTCTTAGGGAGTGTTCTAGGTTATTATATGCAGAGTTTTTAGGTCCTATAATTAACACCTGTTTTTTTCAGAATTTAGCAGTAAGAAATTACTCATCATCCAGTTTTTTTTATATCGACTATGCATTCCGCTAGTTTTTCAAATTGGTATGTTTCGCCGGGCTGCGAAGAAATATAGAGCTGAGTATCATCAGCATAACAGTGAAAGCTAACACCGTGTTTCCTGATAATATCTCCTAAGGGTAACATGTAAAGCGTGAAGAGTAATGGCCCTAGTACTGAGCCTTGAGGTACTCCATACTGCACTTGTGATTGATATGATACCTCTTCATTCACTGCTACGAATTGATGGCGGTCAGATAAGTGCGATTTGAACCATGCTAATGCACTTCTATTAATGCCAACAAAGTTTTCTAGTCTATGCAAAAGAATGTTGTGGTCAATAGTGTCAAACGCAGTGCTAAGATCCAATAGCACTAATAGAGAGATACAACCACAATCAGATGATAAGAGCAGGTCATTTGTAACTCTAATGAGAGCAGTCTCGGTACTATGATACGGTCTAAATCCTGACTGGAAATCCTCACAGATACCATTTTTCTCTAAGAAGGAATATAATTGTGAGGATACTACCTTTTCTAGTATTTTGGACAGAAAAGGGAGATTCGAGATCGGTCTGTAATTAACTAGTTCTTTGGGGTCAACTACCTGGGAACTACCTGATTTGTTCTTCCCCTTCTTTTACACAGTATGAGCAATTTGAGAGCACCATTGGCTTCAAGCTTTCTAATCACAGAGCCGCCAAGAGGCTATGGAAGGTTTGCATTGAACATCACACCTTTTTCAGGTAAACTAGCTGGACTAATTTGATTTATTTTATTGATTGATATAATTTTGTTATCAACATTGTAGTCATGTTAATGTTAATGTGGCAGCCTTTATTTTACTTCACATTTTTTAGTGACAAACCTTGGGTCACCATTGTCCTATGAATTTAGCTTTTATGACTTTCAGTCATTTGTGTTTGACCCCCAATGCCTGAAGCTGTCACACTACTGAATATGTTTTGTTTCCCTCATTTGCATGAAATTTAAATGGCATCAATGGAGAACATAGTCTAGTGTGGCTATGTCTTGATAGTCATACTGCCTTTTTTTAAATATATGAGAAAGTTTAGGAATGATTAATATTGATAAAGAATCTCAGATTGAATGCCTCTGTTGGCATATCCTCTATTGCTCCAGGTATGTTATTATAAAGACCAGAATACCATAGAGACTTGGTGGTGGGCTATTTTGACTTGAGACAATTACCTATCAACCACTCTGTAGCTTTTAATTAATACAGGGGGTTGTCTTTTCAGAACCTTCTGATGCAGATTATTAATGACGTCAATATCAGTAAACCAATAACATTTTCCTGTATTGGTCTGTTTTAGGCTAGTGTCCCCTGAGCCACCACCAAAGGGCTTTCTGGTGATGGGTTCAAAGTTCAGATACAGTGGAAGGACCCAGGCCCAGACACGGCAGGCCAGCGCTCTGATCGATCGGCCCGCTCCCCACTTTGAACGGTCCACTAGCAAGAGATACCTTCTTTCTCGCAGTCTAGATGGAGGTTAGAACACTTTTGTTTTCCTCTACTTTGCCTTTTCCTGTAGCAAAATTGTCTGCATTTTTGCCAGACTCTATATTGTAGCTTTCCACTACTTTCAGTCTTTCACAATGGACACAGTTAATCTAGGAGTTAATTATAGTAGCACATACCTTATTCAGTGGTGACCATGTCACTACAATTATTATGAGGAATCTTTAAAAAACAACCATTGAACATTTTGCTGAACTGTTGTTGGACTACAGGAAACATGGAATATCATAATAATAAGTCATAACACAATTGTACTTCAAAACTGTAAGAAGATACAGAAAAGTTACAAAAAATATAAAATTAAGCAAATTATCTTTATACACAACTGTCACATGATATTATAAAAAACACATTGTGCCATCTTTAATTTTACATTTTCCTGTATTTCCTGTAATTGAGTGGCTTGTCAGAATATTATATTTCTCTAATACATAAACTAAGTAAGCATGACCAAAGTCCTTATAGGGAAAATAATTTACTGAAGGTAGTAGTGTAGCACATTTCTTTAGTATCAAAGTTAGAATGAAAGCCTCTCAAGCATCTTAACCTTCTGCGCGTGGGACAGAACTAATACATAATCAATAGATACAGTACAGCTAGGACCTTCCACTGGAGATGCTGCAATACACAGGACAGCTGTAATAAACAAGACACAGGATATGCTTTAGGAAAGAGGTTTGGCTAAGTGACATTTACATTACAATGTCATTACTCCGCTACAGTTTGTTCAGTGTTGATTCAGTTGAGTTATAAATAAAGGTAATTTTAGCGATAAGCAGCTCAACTGTCTTCATAAATCAATTTATAAATAAATTATAAACAAATATAATTCAAATATAAAGCAGCTGTTTATAAGACATTAGGTTTAATGTTCAGCTCAATTCATTTCAAGTTTTGTTATGATCCGATATAGTGTCAATGCCGTCAGATTGACAATATTACTGAATATCAAGTGTCTTTTAAACTGCAACTAAGCAAGCCAAAAAATGACAGCGACAAGGAACCTGAACTCTGTCCGGTGACAGAAATTAACAAAAAAAACTTTCCAAAAGAATGTTGTAGTCAATAGTGTCAAAGGCAGTAGTAACAAGGTCAAGTAATACTAATAGAGAGATGCAACCATGATCGGACAATACAAGCAACTCATTTGTAACTCTGATAAGTGCAGTTTCAGAACTATGATATGATCTAAATCCTGACTGAAATTCCTTGCAGACACCATTCCTTTTTCAAAAAGGAATATAGAAGGATTCCTTTTTTCTAGTATTTTTGAAAAGAAAAAAAAATGTTTAGATCATTTTGAGATTTAAACAATGAACATTTAAGATAATTCTGTAGTCAACTAATTCTTTAGAATAAAGTTTTTTTTTTAGCTCTTTCAGAGTTTCATTCTCTGTGAAGTGATCTGTTATATTTCTCAGTTCATCTCAATGGATGCGCAGCGCACCTGTATTTGACGTACCGTGAACTCTAGTGTGAAGGTGCACGACTCGTCGTCACTTTGTCTCACACACATGCAAAGAGAGAGAGAGCAAGAGAGTCTTGCATACCATGCAGAATTGACGTGCTACATGTAAACCATATACTTTGTTGTTTTTTCCTGTCAAAATAATGGAGTTCTTTTGGAATTCTTCAGCTTTTAAGAACTGCCGGGTTCTCCGGTAGTAGGCGGAATTAATGCGCAAACGACGATCTCATTGGCTGGCGCTCACCTATTATCGTCCCTGTTTTGATTTCAGCAAATATATATATATACACACACACACACATGCATATATGGTATATCAGTCTGGCGAGTAAACTTAAAAATGTACTAGCCAATGGCGATTCAATTGCCAAGGTGTCCGTAGAGGGTTGATATGTAAAACGTTTTAAAGAGTCTAAACAATGCACTTCAAAGATAGGCTATAAGACAACTCCTGTTTACTTTTTTTTGCCAGTATTTTAATATATCGCGATGGCAACACTATTTGAGATATCCAAAAACATTCATAATTTAGGTTCCTCAGTGTTTTTGCATCAGGTAGCAGTGTTGGGGGTTCTCCAGGACCAGGATTGGGAACCACTGCTCTAGTGTGAAGGCGCACGACTCGCCGTCGCTAATTCTCACACACGCAAAGAAAGAGACAGAGCGAGAGAGAGTCTTGCATACCATGCAGAATTGACGTGCTACATGTAAACCATATACTTTGTTGTTTTTTCCTGTCAAAATAATGGAGTTCTTTTGGAATTCTTCAGCTTTTAAGAACTGCCGGGTTCTCCGGTAGTGGGCGGAACTAATGCGCAAACGACGATCTCATTGGCTGGCGCTCACCTATTATCGTCCCTGTTTTGATTTCAGCAAATATATATATATACACACACACACACATGCATATATGGTATATCAGTCTGGCGAGTAAACTTAAAAATGTACTAGCCAATGGCGATTCAATTGCCAAGGTGTCCGTAGAGGGTTGATATGTAAAACGTTTTAAAGAGTCTAAACAATGCACTTCAAAGATAGGCTATAAGACAACTCCTGTTTACTTTTTTTTGCCAGTATTTTAATATATCGCGATGGCAACACTATTTGAGATATCCAAAAACATTCATAATTTAGGTTCCTCAGTGTTTTTGCATCAGGTAGACAAAATTTGGTGTAAAATGTATGAGAGCAGTTTCAGGAGTATATAGAAGATGAATATCAAACTTTGAAGCATTGCCATGGCAACAATATTTAAGTTATCAAGAATCCCTACACAGTTTTACATCTGCTTTTGACATTATTCTGATGTAAGTCTGAAGCAAATCAGGTAAAAATAAAAGGGTGATTTCAAAGCATTTTGAAAATGACACACTTCCTGCTGCCTGTTCTGGCTCTGTCTGTTTTAGCATTTCAACTCCCCATTGTTATGGAAGGAGACTCACACAGAGGATTAGAATACAAACTAGGATATTTATTGACAGCAAATGATGCAGATGGTAATGACAGGTGAGTATTATAGGCAATTGAGCAGTTCTCTGAATTGATGGAGAATATAACACAGTCTCTGGTCTCGCAGGAGATCGTGGAAGGGAGACAGAAGACAGCACACACCTCAGATGACGAGTAATGAGAATATTCCCACGGAGATGACAACTGGAACGGACGTAGGAACTGAGCACAGGAGAACACACTGGAGGAGACACAGAAGGTAAGTACACAAGGCAGGTAGGTAGCTCAATGTATCGCACAGATAGCATAGAGAGTCCACTTCGTATGAACGAGACCGGACACTGGAGTGAAGAGAGGTGTGCTTTTGTAGGAGTCCTGATGAGAGTGCAAATTCCAAACAGGTGCGTGCAATCAGTATTCAGGTGACAGTGTGCACTGTGATTGAGTGGTGGATGAGCCTGGCCGATCTGTGACAGTGCCCCCTCCTACACGGCCCGCTCCTGAGGGCCGATGACCCCGACGTCGTGGTGGTCTACCTCTCCCTCGGGGCCCAGGACGATCTGGATGAGTGGAGTGAAAGGCCTCCAGCAGTGTGGGATCGAGGATGTCAACTCTGTGAACCCATGACCGTTCCTCTGGCCCATGTCCTTCCCGGTCCACGAGATATTCCAAGAGACCACCACGGTGCCGGGAGTCCAAGATCTTGTTGACCTTGTAGATGGCGCCGTCCTCCTGGATTAACGGAAGAGGGGGTTCCTCTGTCGGGCCAGGCTCTGTGGAGACAGAAACAGGAAGGTGGTAAGGTTTGAGCAGTAAAACATGGAAGGAAGAGTGAATCTTATACTGTGAGGGAAGCTGAAGTTGGCACGTGACTGGGTTTATCTGCTTGATGATGGTGAAGGGGCCAACATATCTGGGACTGAGCTTCTTGCAGGGCAGGCACATCCTGATGTCCCGTGTTGACATCCAGACCTTCTGACCAGGTTGGTATGGAGTTTCAGCCCTTCGAAGGTCTGCTGTCATCTTGCTTCTGCGCACTGCCCGCTAAAGCTGATGGTGAGCTGCGTCCCAGACCCTCTCACTATCTCGGAACCAGTAATCGATAGATGGGACATCAGACGGCTCCCCCGACCAGGGGAATAGGGGTGGCTGGTAACCGAGTACGAAGGTAGTGAGTCCAGTGGACGGCTGGCGAAGGGAGTTCTGCGCATACTCGGCCCAGCCTAGGAACTGGTTCCAAGAGTTCTGGTGGCCATAGCAGAAAGTTTGCAGGAATTAATTTGCCAGAGGGTAGGTGGTGTGGACTCTTGGCGATGGCACAGTCAGAACAGCCTTGGAAGAACCTTCTCACATCCCTGGCCATATTGGGCCACCAGAAGCGATCTTTCAGCAGCGAGATGGTGTTGTTGGCCCCTGGGTGGCCAGTGCCCAGAGAAGTGTGAGCGGAGTGAATCAGGGGAGTGTGTTGTGCTCTGGTGACATACTGCAATCCTTGTGGACAGCCCAGCGGAGTGGCCGTGGAAGCATTGGAGGAGGCGGCTGGATTGGGGGACCATTGGATGGGGTTTACGATGATTTCCTTAAAGATAATGGATTCCGGTTCCTCACTGACCTCTTCAGGAGCATGAAGACGAGAGAGAGCATCCGCTTTCACATTTTTGGGACCTGGACGATAGGAGATGGTAAAATTGAATTGAGTGAAAAAGAGTGCCCATCGTGCCTGGCGAGGATTAAGTCTCTTGGCGTCTCGCAGATATTGCAGATTTTTGTGGTCAGTGACGACAATGAATGGATGTTGTGCACCCTCCAACCAATGCCTCCATTCCTCCAGGGCCAGCTTAATGGTAAGGAGTTTTCTGTTGCCGATATCGTAGTTTCTCTCCGCCAGGCTGAGTTTGCGAGAGAAGGCACATGGATGGAGTTTGGCTGGAGACCCCTGCTGCTGAGACAGCACCAATCCTACCCCGGTAGTGGAAGCGTCCACCTCCACAACGAAGGGCCTGTTGGGGTCTGGATGGATGAGGAGCGGTGCACAGGTGAAGGCTTGAGGGCT